GCTTTTTCGACCCTGGACCCTTCTTTTTCAACCCCGTCCATTTGAGCCCACGTTCGATTTGACCTAGAAAGCTTCTTTGGTCTTTGCTCCTAGTAGCGATGCCAGGAGCCCCTAGTAGCGTCCTTGCTCCTAGTAGCGATGCCCTTTGTTCTCACTTTGTTGCTCTGGTTTGTCGCGTCATGTGTGGTGCTCTGGTTTGTTGCGGTTCGTGTCGGCTGCTGGTTTTCTAGCTGTCGGCTGCAGCGGTGGCTGCCAGATCTCTTCGAGCTTCATTCATCGGCTTGCACCAATTCAATTTGGTCCAGATTTCTCTTCCATGTGCGCAGGAGAAGTCGCATGGGTGAGACGCTGACGCCGGCCCACTCCACAAGCCAATCGTGATGATGTTTCCTATGGTCGCTGGTGAAACCAAGGGGACCATTGAAGAGAACCTGAATTGAACAACACACGCAAAGGTCTTCAGGTGGAGCTCCCGTGATCTTTTGTTTGGAAAAAAGAGAGTTCACCCGGATCTGCAGAGATCCCAAATGATTCGGGCACCATCACTGGCAGGGCCACCAACGACCTGCAAAATTTAGTGGGTCGCAGAGCCGAGCGTATCGCTTGGTACAACGCTCTCTGGTTCATCTGTGGCTTGAAGTCATCGGTCTTCAAAGATTCGATCACCAGGCACTTGGTTCGCCAAAGCACTACAGATGCACCCCTTGAACCTCAGCGCCAATCGGCATAAGTGCGCAGGCTCCCTTGCGCCATTTCTTGCGTAAGGTGCGCGGAAACCGCCGCGCGGATCAGAGCAGCCAATGCCTGGCAAGACTGGACAGGGTGTCAGAAGGCCAGTGAGAGAAATATAAAAATGGGTCCAAGAAGCAGTGGAGATGAACGAATCCCATGGCCCAAAACAGCTCAAACCATTGGAATGCGTCGGAGTCGTGCATCTTCATGAAGTGCTCATGGCTCACGGCAATCAAACAAGTCGTCTGGGCTATTTCCGAAAGCTCCATGAAGCAATCCCCCCTGTGAAAACGCGACCCAAGAAAGACCCCTCAAATGGTTTATATTGTACGCAAAGAAACCCACTATAAGAGTACAGTATATACTTAATTATAGTGGGACCATAGTATACACATAATCCATGGCTTACAAACAAAACACGCGACCCCCTAGAGAGCCCCAGGGACTCGTCCGTGCGACTGGACGACCACCTCTGTCCGTTGGGTCCAGCTCTGTCCGGCGAGTCAGTCAAGTGCGCCAGGTGGAAGTTCGTACGTCCCAGGAAGAGACTTTCGTGGCGCTGCCGTGGTGCCCCCGTGGGCTGTATGCTCTGGAAGAGACCCACATGGAACATGGAACATGGACCATGCGATGTTGTGGCGCAGGCCCTTTGGCGCATGCACCCTCGGGATGGGAAGAATAAAAAGGACAAACCTCTCAGGCTTTCAGGCCTCTTACGACGATTGCTGGGGGACCGGGCCAGTCTGCCAAGTGGTGCACCGGCTGCCGCTAGTGCGTCAGTTCAAAGAAAAGGAGAACTGGCTAGGGCTGACAGAAGAAAACTCTATATATAGAGTCTAATGTTCCAAGGTGTGAACTATGCACTGCACTGCAACTTTGCTAGCAAATCTGGACGAACTTGTTTGCTTGTATGTTTACTGTGGCTACCCAGAGCCAGCAGCCACTGCCAGACAAGCACAGTTTCACGACATGTTCATGTACGCTGGCCTATCGAGGTCTTAACAAGAAAACAAGACCGAGGTCTTAGCAAAGGACCGAAACAAGACCAAAACCTCACTGAAGGAAAACAACATCCCGGTAAGAGTTCCATGCTGTGTTGAGCGCCTACCGAGTAGAAACTGAGGTTTGAAGCCTGCTTAGGCCTTACTAATGTCTGAACATAGGTTTCAATAGGGGGGCCTGGGTGTAGGAGGGCGTGCATAGTAGCCATGATATTCGGGATTTCAGAGGGCTCGGTCTGTTGTGACCATTTGACAATCTTTAAAAAGTGCACCAAGCATATTTGTTCTGGGAACATGTCGCCCGGAGCGGCGATGTTGTGTGCGCTGCCGACTCTTTCTGAGCACGAGCACGCATCCAAACCAGCAGAGCAGCAACAGCTAAGCAAAAAGGAAGCGCCGGCACAAACAGCGGCAACAGCGGCGGCGGCAGCAGCGGTAGCAGCAGCGGCTGCAGCACAGCAAAGCAGTAAGCAGCAGCACCAGCGGCAGCAGCGGAAGCTGCAGGTGGAGGTTGGCAGCAGCCAGCCAGCAAGGCCAAAGCAAAAGGAAAACGGTGGAGAAGGACCAGCAGCGATAGCAGAATAGGGCGGCCGAATCATTCGAGCTTCCGACGAAGGCGTCTACATCCTAGGACTGAAAGGCCAGCCCCCCCACGGTGCGACCCAGGGTTAGAATAGCGTGTCATAGGGTTGAAATAGCATGTTTATGGGTTGGAAAAAAAGGTTCAAGGGTGGAAAAAACATGTTTCCAGGGTGAAAAAGGCATGTTTCCAGGGTGAAAAAAAAAGGTTGGAATATAAGGACCATGGGTTGATTTAGTAGGGGTTACATTTTTTTCCAACCCAGGGTTGAAAAAGCGTCTTGGAGGGTTGAAAAAAAAGGTTAGGGTTGAAAAAAAATGTTGGAGGGTTGAATAAACATCCAGCCCCACCAGGGTTGCTTTGGCACCCTCGCATGCTGAGCTGAGGAGATTAAGGAGGAATTGGCAACTGCAACTACTGGCCAAAATTATGCATCTTACATCTTAAATCATCTTCCGATATTAATGTATACACGAGCACATGTTCAAGCCACAAATAGTACATGCAAAGTTGTCAAGCCACAGCAATCATACACACAACTTCTGCCTCTAAACATGGAGCCACCATCCAACAACTGAGTGCAATCTCTCGAAGCCGTGCATTTACAACATCAACGCACTGATCGCATGACTCAAACCCCTCCGGCGACTGTCAAAGACCGAAAACTCCGAACACTCCTGCTAGGGGGCCACAGCAACCAGATGTTTGCCTTGCCAATTCACATCCACCCTGTTCTCAACGAGGGAACCACGCCTACTTGCACCAACACCTTGGCCCTACCACCTGGGCATCGAAGGTGGCAATGGTGCCAATGGCCGCGCTGGCCACGGCTTCCAAGAGCTCTTCGTCCTTGTGCTGTAGCTTTGCACCTCAGCGCCAAATGGGAACGAAATGCATGCGTCTCAATCCAAATGCAACAACATGTCATGAGAAACGTGATGTTTTCTAAACAACATGCAAGAAGGAACCATTTCCTGGGAAATTAATGATGTGAGCTTTGGGGCTGATTGCACATTCCAACGGGACTTCGATCATTCGGAACATTCCACCTCACCCGGCACATTCCGCCAACGCTCATGTGAGCTAGGCATCCGCGGCTAGGCATCCACGCATGACCAAATGAAATTAGAGATGGACTGCCTGCAAGAGTCGCACATCTGAGCACAAAACCGGAGCCTCCCAAGGTGTCGAGCCTCGATCGCCTCGCTATTTTCGTCGGTGTCGTTCCCAACTCAATGGAAGCTCCAAAACGCACATGCTTCTTGGAGGGTAGGGCCCATCATCCACTCACGTCTTATAAAACAAACCTTCGGAACTCTTAAACACTATAGTGTCAACGGACTTCCTGCCCAGCGGAGCAACCCAAGATATCACAAGTCCTCTGCAGCAACTCAAATGGGAAATGCCTAGCGTTTTCATGCTTGATATATCTTGATATGATTGAAAGAATCTATCCCTAGGGATCCAAGTACCTTCTCAGAAGGTGTTTGGAGACTAGAGGCTCCAAGTACCTTCTGAGAAGGTACTTGGATCCCTAGGGTATGAGTATGAGTATATGTTAATATATGACTGATTCAATGATCGATCCACATGCCTGGTGATGTGGGCAACTCTCCTTCCACAGTCCCACCACTTGGCCCATAGTTCCATCCAGAAACCCCTCTAGAACGGCTACGATGATCTAGGATGATCCAGGAGGTACATGGGAATTCCGTTTAAGAGGGTCAACACCTACCAATCTAATCTAGGCTCTTGATTAATGAGCCCCCCCTTTTAATTATTCATCAAGAGTCTACATTATAGGGAGCCACCAATGAGTCCACTGCCAACTCCTCACCTCTCGAAGTAGGGCAACTTCTGCATGGCCGCCGCCACCAATGAGTCCATCACCTGTACAAAGTGAAGACCTGGACCTGGCCTTAAAACCCTGGTAGAGTAGCCGAAGGGATCGCTTCGCTGAGAAGGCAAACAAACATCTTCCAAAGAAAGGCCCTCCCTATCTCCGAAAAAGGTGCTGCAAGGCAAGGGAGCGGACCTTGGGGGGGGGAGCGGACCTTGGGCGTCGTTGACATGGTGACGGGTCCGAAGTCGAACCTTCCGCCTCTCGCGATGGCTCTCACAAGCAGAGGAGGAAGGTTCGACGAGTAATGTGGACTTGTCGACTCTTGATTTGTAACCCCCCCCTTTGAATCGGATAATCCTCTTCATATGGGGGTTACTAAATGAATGAGTCTGGCCATGTTTGTTCTTCGACCTGGCCAACACATGCTGTTCTTCCTCTCATCGGAATTGTTTGCCGCCATGCCAAATCCCCTTACTTCGAATGCTCCAAAAAATCTGAAGACGAGTACGTAACTGGGTGACCCCTGTTTGTCAGACGAACGAGGAGGCGAGAACAAACATACACCCAACGCTGCCAACGCGAACAGAAACGTACAATATGTTATCTGGCTGAGCCAGAGCTGACACCCTTTGGAAGATTTGGAAGTCTGCCCCTGCACAGGGCTCCAGCGGAGCTCACGTACGTAGCACTCATCAACCAAACTTCGTCGATTTCTCGTCCTGGACGTCAATCTTTGGGGCCCCGGCCCAGCGAGCCTGTTTTGGACGCTGGGCGAGTCAGTGCCCCAAACTGGCGAGTCAGTCGATGATCGTCGCCCCGGGCCGGGTCGGGCCAAGAGACAGGGTCATCCAGGAGGAGAGTGGTCAAGGCCCATCCTGGCACGCCCAGATGTGCTCAGTCGAGAGTGAAAGACGTTCGTGCCAAAGACTTCTTGGGTTTGAGGAAAGAATGGCTCCAAAGTGGATGCCTCCGGGGAGAAGGCCATGATTTGTGTCCAATTGCCCAAACTAGTGGTGTAGGGTGGACAACAAGGTGCTTGTTGGATGGATTTGGCTGATAATCAAGTTGAGTTTTGTTGGGAGGATCCCCCTCAGTCGAGGCAGCATTGCTCAGTCCAGGTCTGCAGCAAAGCTTGAAGTTGGACAAGTCTTTCCGGAGGGCCTTTGAATGATTTGGGCCTAGAGATCGTCTTGGCCGACCTTGTTCTTTCTCCACCGGCAAGTTCAGCATCCACACTGCTGTCCCACAAGGACAAGCTGGGCTGGCAATAACATTCTCACATCCCGTGGCAAAACTGCAGCCGCCCATTGTTTCTGCGTGTTGGGTGGTTCTATGACTCTATGCCCTTGAGTTCCCTCCAAGACCTCACCCCACAAAAAACGCACACCAAAACGTCGGAGATCCATCAGGGCCGCCCTGAAGCTCTCGCTCTCCTCTTCGAAGAACGTCCCTTTTTCTTCTCCAATTCCCCGGTCTTCAGCACCCGGCACGCCGAGTCTTCCACCGCCGCCAGCTGGCGCCGCACCAAGCCGCTGGCGCGAACACGGAGCTGGCCCTTCTCACAGGCACCGATGGCAGCGTTGTAGGTGATGTCGGAGGGGCTCAGCCGCCATTGGGACATGAGTTCCTTGGAGGACGAGAAAAAGGAGAATCGGAGAATCGGGGAGTTCTCCCAAACAAGTGGAGTGTCAGAGTGGGACAATATATATATATATATAATATATATGTGTGTGTACTATTATACATATATAAAATAGAATTGTATGTCATGTATGTATTTCACATCTTTCTAAGAATCTCGAGGACCCGAAAGAGGTGTTGGTCTTTTGTTTCTGCATTGGAACACTCCTTGGCTGTTCAGGGGTCTCAAGTCACAACAAGTTCGTAACAACAACACGGGCATTACTGCTAGATCTACTAGTAACTAGCTAGAAACTACAGTACTAGTAACAAGTGCATTGCTACAAGTAACAAGGTATCTTCGGATTGTGACCCAGGGGCAAAAGCGACCCGGTCTGAGCGCCCTGGCATCATCGACTTCCTCTGAAACGGCCATCTTCAGCCCTCCCAAGGACAAGATGCTAGGACCGCAAGGGCCTCTTCCCACTGTCCACACTTCCTTGCACCGCGCACGGTCACATGTCTCGAGGCTTGAGCGGGGGTGGTTTCAAATGACCTCCAAGTTGCCATGGTCGATCTGCGAGTCCACCTACTTTGAGGCAGTCACCACCGACAGACTTTGAAAATAATCTCCCCAAATTGAATGTCCAAGAACGACCCTCAAAGTGAACACCTGCATGTTGGCAGTGAAGCAGGAATTCTGCCAAACGGGTTCATTGAAAAAGACTGCCATATAGGTTTGCCAAAGTTCCATGCCACTCAATGAAGCGGTTGAACGAGCATAGACTTGTGGAACAACCCAAACCCAGCCCAAAGAAGGCTGCTATTTTACTTTACGGATGCTTTGCGTTTGGGATGCGGTTTGGCATGCCTGGAGCAACCAAAAACAGCGTGGAATCATCGAGACTCACAGGAATTCTCAACAGGACAAGTTGCAGGTGTCCTTGTCTTATCGGGAAGATCCCCCTTGTTCTGCACTATGAGCCGACAATCCCGCTTCTGTATTGAACATGGTCAGGAGTCTCGCAAGCCGAGATGGTGGCGTCACAGGCGATCAAACTGAGCTGGAAGGACTTCATGAGCAGCTCTGCAAGCAGGAGGAACCTCTGGTGACGGGAAATCATGAGATGATGTTGGCTGTGGTTGGTGACCACTATTGTGCCACTGAGACGCACACCTGGAAAGCGGCAATAATTGTCCACTGCACCAGGCCACTAGAATGGTATCACATCCAAATGGTTAGCGGTGTCCACTGGCCATAAAGACACCCAGTCGTGAGAAAAGAACCACATGTCCATGAGTCATCTTGCCCAAGCGTCAGTACAATATAGGCAGCCGGCATGGAAACCCTGAAAACTGAAAAGCTCAAACTCCGGACTCTCACGACAAACTGCACTGTAGCGGTACAGGTTGTGTTCTCACTTTAGCTGTTCTTTTTCATCTTCAACGCCCAAACCGTGTGGGAATGTCTTCCTCCCTGAGTCTGGTAACCACTCTCCACCCCGCGTGCGACCGCCGCCGCGTGCGCCCTTCCTTTCGCATCCACGCGGCGCCAAGGACCATTGGTGACCCTTCTCCGCAGAGGTGATGGTCGCACTCCAGGTGATTTCGTCCGCCTCCAACCCGTCCTGCGGTGCACGGTCTACGTGCCGACGTGCCGTTGTGTGAAGAACCGGTGCAGGGGCGGTGGGGAAAGGCACCCAACACATTCCAAGTGTTTATGTTTGTTCCTGGTTCACTGCCTATGAAAGGCCGTGACGGACAGGGACCGCAAGTCGCGCTATGTTTGTTCCTGGGATGGATGCCATGGGGTGGATGAATCATGCTGGGGAGCCATGATCCAACGGGACACCGTGGAAAACAGGAAACGTACATGAGAAAACACCTTTCAGGACTTAGAAGCCCAATGTGATGTAAAGCGGTGAGCCAAAGTGGTAAAGACTCAAAAACCTGACAAATGAAATACGGTAATCCTTTATCACATGAGTGACCAGTTGGTTGATGCATTCTTGTTTCCGATTCTGCAACGTGAAAGCACCGCCAGGTGGACCGGTTGCTCCTGTGGGACCAGTGGGACAACAAAAGAACATTTGCAGAGTTTCGACCTGCGATACTTCAATCAAAGGCTTGGAGGCTGTTCTCCGTGAGGTAACACTGATGTGGGTCAGCCTCCAGCATTTTTGCATAGAAAAACGAAAAAGAGAGGGAGATAGAGAGAGAGAGAGAGCGAGAGAGAGAGAGAGAGCGGGAGAAGAAAGGCATTTATCTAGCTGGAGTCCTTCGACCCTCTGTGGGGGGGTTATCCTCAAACCTGCTGATGTTTGAGGGCACCGATTTCGAGAGTCGCACCACGAACTACGCGGAGTCATTCCTCCGGACATAAACGACTCAGCCGTCCTGCTCAAGGGCATTCAAGTGCCTTGTTCCGTGTGAGAGAGGGGTGAAGAGAAAAGGAGAGGGTCCCGAAGTGGCTGTTGGAAATTGATGATAATTGTGGGAACATAGCAAAAACCTACTTTATATTCACAACATGGAACATGCTGAGAATAGAGTTTACATACGTTTACTAGCTGCATCGATACATGTTGACTTTCGCTGATGAACAAAGTTGTCGGGCACCGTTCTTGAATTGTTGTAGTCTACAAGTCTACCACTGCCAGTGCGCAGGCCCAAGTGAAGGCTCGGTCTGCTTGGATACTTGGTTGACTCTAACATAGCGCAAGCTGACCACGTGTGCTTTGGCAGAATCTGTCAAGGGATTAAATGATATTAACTGGAAAAAAGTGGAAAGCATCCAAAACAATCTCAATTCGCAGTTTCCACGCATCTCCACCCTTCGTTTCCGTGCCCAAGTCACTCGAACGAAAGGATCCAAGCACCGCTCCGAGCCATAGCGCTGACGCCCGCGTTGTAGGACACCAAATCCGGCCGGCATGAGAAAGTCCCCAGCGCATCCTGTTGGCCGAATACCAAAGCCGGCAAAAGGACCCCAAAGGAATCCCCCCCCAGCCGAGGATGGGTCACGAACAAACTGGTAGAACATGTAGAACTACGTAGGGCACCCCTGGCAAGTCTTCATTCATCTTCATTAAAAAAGAACAATTCCCAGGCTTTTATTATAAGACAATGCGCCAACGTTTGGTGAAACATATTGAAAAATAGTCGAGCTACTGCAGAAAGCAATCGATATCAAAGAAAACGACAAGTTTGCGTTGAGAAAGATTTCAGCCTGTTGTCTTCTATCTCCGGTAGGACACCCTGCTGCCAAAAGGAACCGGAGTTCCGGGCGTGACTGGGATTGCCCCACATCATGCCACCATAGTTGGAGATGAATCACCTAGAAAACAAACAAACATATATATATAATATTACACACATATATATAACTAATATATAACATAAATATATATATATATATGTGTGTAGCTCTGTGTCATCTACATCTGCTAGCTGCTCGCCATCGGGATTTCCTGTTTTCGGTCATCATCTCCCAATCGTTCGCTCATCACCGACGTCCGCCCAGCGTCCATCAACTCAGTGGCCCAGCGCCACTGCCCCGCCAGCCCAGTGGCGCTCAGCGCCGAGCACAGCACAGCAGCACGCGACCCAAAGCCGCGGTCGCCGCGGGAACTGCGGCACGCGAGGTGCAGCGCGCTGGGCCAATGAGAGATGCACTCCATGGCCTCAAGGTCGATGGGTTGATGCCACGAGAAGGACTGTAGGGGCCCCCCTTTCAGCGAATACTTGTGTGTTTCTTCTTGGGTCTTCCTGCAAAACAGGTTCCACATGGTTGGCTTGTGGGTGCCTGTCAGCCCGGCTCCGGTCCCCAGAGTGAGTCTCCTATGGTGGTAGCATTTTCGTGCACAAAGCACCCAGCACTGGCCTTGACCACTGGAGAGCAGCTGAAGTTATTTTGAAGCCTCTGATGATTGAATTCCCCAAAGCCATGGAGGCAAAGCTGCCACTGTGAGCTCATAGCAGTGGCCTCCAAAGCCTTCCAGAGCGAATAGGCGAATCCAAAATCGAACCAGTTTCCAATACATTGCAATACATATTACTTTATCAGTTAACCATCGCCAGGGCGAGGCAAGGCTGCAGCGAAGCTGCATGTCCAGGTTCAATGTGTGTTATGAAAGGGCTGGTAACCGATGGGTCCAGTTCAAACAGTTGCTGGGGCCAAAGCAACTCATATCAGGAATCCAGTTCTTTCATTTCGGGCTGGTTGACACGGGCTCAACACAATTCAAACTTGCAAAGTTGGAAGATTGGCGAAGCACCTCTTCAAGTGAACTCCACCATGCATGTCGGCAAAGGTTCATGATGTGTCTTCCTCTTTTCTTCTCTCTTCTCTCTCTCTCTCTCTCTCTCCAGTCACTAGTCTGTCTCTGTCTGTCTGGTCCTGTCCGCTCCGCTCCGCTCCGGCCGGCCCTGGTCTATCTGTCTGCCTCTGAAGCGAACAGACGCCATCCTTCCATCATGTTTGCGCATGTGTTTGTTGCTTTTGCATGCTTTTGCATCGTTCGGCTTTGCGCCTGGTTGGCGCTGAAGGCGTCCAAGCGCAAAGCCTCATGACGTGCTGCACTGGTCAACTGCAAGACCTGAAGCCATGGGGCTGCAGCTGTTGCCGCGGTGTAGGAGATGCAGTTCCGGCGGATCTGCCAACATGGCATGGCCGCCAACCTGCCAGGTTGGTTTGATTTGGTGTGATCCAACTGCCACCATATCAGGGCCCTATTGGTGTCTGCATGGCTCGTTTTAAGGAAAGGCCATAAACAAAGGAGCGGCAGTCTTGGTGCAGGAAGTTCTGTTACAAAGGTTCAGTTTCAACCAGGCATGTATATAATATATATATATATATGTGCTGTTTGTTCTTTGATGTTCTTTGTTTATGTATTTCTCCCTCTCTCACTCTCTCTCTCTCTCTCTTTTTCTCCCTCTCTCTGTTTCTGCACCGCATTGAAATAACACCGCAAAAAACTTATTCAACCTCTTCCGGTGAACAGCAGCAAGGCCACTTCCCACTGGCTCCCTTCACCAGATGCATTGATTGCCGAAGTGAAAGTCACCACATCTGGTAGCAGCTTCTCCGCTGGCAAGGCGCTGAGGAGCTGCAGGGCCAGGCTCCAATGACTGCTGGAGACATAGGAAGACATTAAGGAGTTGTAGCTGACGAGATCCGGCTGCAGCATATCCTCGTCAATGATGCGTACGCCCCTGCATGTCTGCATGTGAATGTTAATGGTTGGGCTAGTTGAGAACTATAGAAATTCTATGAAACTCTGATTCTACTGCTTGCAAAGCTGTCACTGGAAGTCACCTCAGTACAGGTGAGGTTGTACAGATCCTAAAACCCATTCACTAAGCTAAAATCTACCATTCGGGCAGCGCTGGCGGCGTCCCACAGATCAACCCTACCAGTCTGTCCTCCCGCATCAGGGTGAGGAGAAGCAGTTTGTCCTCCTGCCCTGGTAGAGAAGCCAACAGCGTGTTGTAACTCACCACGTTGGGCCTCCAAACTGCAAACCGTTCCCGAGTTTTGTGAGCTCTTGAGGGTTGGTGTTGCAACTGCCACTGATTCGATTCCGTCCGGGGAGAACGCTTGGCCAGCTTGCTTGGCATCCTCCACATAGTGCTTGAGAGAAAGAATCTTCTGAACTTTTGCTGCTCAGTTTCAGGAACATGATGTTGAAATCTAACATCATTATACATCCTAAGCACCCCTTTTGATGAGCTTAAGCTCACTTTGACGTTGGTTATGAATCATATAATAATGTACGGTTATCTCCGGAATGTCTGCATCCCCCAGTGCAAGCTAATCTGCAGGGGCCGTCCGAGAGCCTGCAACGTCGCCCCCGCAGCATGCGCAAGGCTCGTTGCCAACATTGGACCCGCACCAAACCTCCAAGTAAATGGGCCCATCTCTAACGCATTATCCGACTTCAAACATTCTCTGATAGAATAGCGACACTTCTGATACATCAACTGCATAGAGTTACAGTAAACAGCAAATGAATGCCGTCACTTCGGATTTCCTTGCGACAAACCCACATGTTGACGACATGGTGGCCACTGGGTGACGGGTGTTGAATCACCAGCTTTAATCAACAGTTTCGACATTTCTTAACTTAGATTTTCTTAGCATCCTTAGCCTTACACTCAATGACTATGACCCGAAATGCAAAGGGATCCTCCTGCCAAGATTTGAGTTCTATGCCTCCAACCACTAAATCCACAAGTCCTCCCGTGATGTCCAAGAAACCGCCCAAAGCCAGGTTGAAGCACAAAACATCCGCCTGGACGCAGGCGGATTGATGGGTTGATGATGTGTGATCCACCGATCAACTCACAACTAAAGACTATTGAACTATATTGAACTTTTGAGTTGATCAATAGTTCAACCTATATTGATTTTGACCTTTCGACCTTTCGTCTGTGTCTCAAATGTCGGGAGAATCTGATCTGCTTGTTCGCTGCACACGGACTTGTCCAGGCACACATCACTGGCATGTTCTGTTTGCGTCTCACCTCGACCCCCATGGCCGCTGCGGAAGCCAAAACATCCAAAGACTCCGCCCAAAAGCAGCGCAGGCCGCTCGGGCGAGCCGGGCCGCGGCCGGGGCTCGTCAGGCATTGCAGTGGTTGCGTCAAGGTGAGGCAGTCCGGGCACAGCTGCGTCGTGTGGATAGAGCTCAACAGGTCGAAACACTTCTGCCAATGCTTGAGGCTCCTGGGTTCAGGGCTTCAAACAGGGAATCAACTGGCATGGACGAAGGGAGATGGAAGGTGGGAATGGTCATCTGATTTGCGTGACTCTTCAACTGAGGCTCTTCATCAAGGAGTTGTAGATGATGAGATTGGCACCTCGGATGGGTGATTCCGGAAAAAAGAGGACACCGGACACCTGGGTGGCAATCCATCCCACTGGTGCCACTATCCAAGATATATCCCTAGGGCTCCAACCACCTCCTGAGAAGGTGGTTGGAGTGGGTTTGGAGGGTCCAAATACCTTCTGAGGATATGGTTGGAGCCCTAGGGGAATATATATATATATATTATATAGGGAGAGAGAGGGAGAGGGAAATAAGAGCTGGTTTGTCAAGGAAGCTTCCGTGCGGCTGTGCCTTTCCCAAAATTATCAGCCCAAGGATTCCAAGGCATATCTATTTATTGGAACTGAGTGTGTAAAGCGATACGATTTCACTCGAGAGAGCATAGGGCATAAACAAAAGGATAACTAACACCAGCATCAGCACAAACCATCTATAGTAGTCATAGTGTTTGCAGGTGTCCGAGGCACGTAGACCCTCCTCTTGGAGCTCCTGCAAGAAGTGTGAGGCCTGAAGCCACCCACCACCACGGTGTGCAGCGTTGATGCAGCTTCCGTAGGAAATCACATCCTCAGCGCGTCCCGCCGCTTGGCAAAGAAGTGAGATGCAAGAGCTGAAGATGTGACTCCCGAGCCGTTTCCCTTGAAAAGAGGTTCACCTTTAACACCTTTTGTCCATCTGTTCAGATTTAGTGGAGGAACCCATCCACTGACGCGGTTGGTGCTTGATTTGTTGGAAGTGAACGGGGGACCCTTTTCTCGCCTGGTTGCAATGTCAATGAGGCGACCTCCCAAGCACCGTAGACAAGTACGTAGATAAACACTAGCTCGCCAGTACACACACAGTTCAAACTCGCAACCCTACTGACACCCAAAAAGAGGATAGAATGTCCATCTACTCCTCCAGAACTGCCCTCCGCTTTTTTGGAGGAGCCAAAAAGCAGAACAACTGCACAAAAGCATGCAAAAAGACTGAAAAAATCCTTTCAGCAAACCTCAAGACTTATTAAGACTCTATTGATGTCTCAGAAGCTGAGAGGCTTCTGCTCGGTCCCTTCCCCCGGTTCACGGAGTTCTGGGGTCACTGACGCATGGACTTCCAGGCGTCCGGTTTCAACTGGATCTTCCGCATGGACTTCAAAAGGCCCTTCGCTTCCAGCCAGGTGCCACAGGCCCTCAGCTGCAAATTCACCTCCATCACACCGACCTGGAGCAGCGGAGCGACAGCGGAGCGTCAGGGGCGTGAAGACCCAGTGGGGAGGTGGAATTCATGGTGATGAAGAACCCATGAAGAATCCACTGGGCCCCCAGCTCCACTGGCTTTCAAGGATTTTACACGTCTGGAAGGCGAAAGGAGAGGAAGTAATGACAGGATCTGCAACACGTGATTGCTTCAACATCTTCAACCCCCCGAACTGTTGGAGAACTGTTCACAGCTTGAAGCAGGACAGTTAACCGGTGAAGGGTGATGCTCACACTGCGAAGCCTCCATCTTCTCCATCGGCTGCGGCCGCGCCCGGCCGCTCTCGTCGAAGGTCAAGCCATCTCGGTAAGGGCCCTGGAGCCAAGCGCCGGCAGCTGCCCAAAGGGAAATCTTCAAAGCAGTGCTGTAGTTCACGAAGAAAAGAGCCCAGGATTTCTCATCTGAACGACCCTTATTGAGTATTGCTGTCCTGATGCGATGACGTGTAATACACAATTGCTTTTGCCATTGCGTTCTTTTGTTTTTAAAATGAACATGGATGTGAGGCCGTCATCCCGAAGCAACTCACGCTTCCCCCGAGCCCTGGGCCCCCAGTGGCCCAGGTGAAACCCCGTGATCCACCGTCAAGCGTGTTCGGCCGCACCCGAGTTGGAGATACTCTGCGGGTTGAACTCGTGCATTTTCTGCGGTGCAAGCGGTGCGCGTTCGGTTGGATGTGAAAGGGAGGCTGGATGAGTTTGGTGGGTCCTACCTACCCTATCTACCCTTGCCTATCTTGCCTGAACAAAAAGCATGGACTCAAAGGGCCCTCATCGGCTGTGCCACGCTGGATAGCCCGGCCTTCCTCGACTCCATAGAGACCTGGATGCCCGGCATCGAGACAAAGCAAGGGGAGTGTGCGTGGAGGACTTGCACGAGGATGTTGAACGTATTTTCTGGGCACAGCGCTATGTTATACCATTACGTTATTTCTTGGAATGTGAGGAAGCGTACTTCACTGACTTGAGTTGGCAAGGAAAAGGTTTGGTTTGTAAAAACAACATGGGGCATCCCCAAGTTGTGACCCGGAAGGTCTCCCTGTCGCCTGAGAATTGAACAAAACAATCAGGTGGAAATATCTACACAGTTGCAGCAAAGTTGAAGCGTGGCAGCGGAATGCTGAATCCTCCCTGTTTGAGCTGCATGCTAAAAGTTATGGAATTAGTCAACCATGAAATGAGCAGGACTCAAAAGTCTAGTCACATATTTAAATGAACATATAATGACAGATCATAACCAACTTATCAAGATCTTGCCGCTTCAACTGCTGTGTGGGAAGCCGAGCCCAGGAGTTCATGATCTTTTTTACTTAGACTTAAACTGAGTTCGCCGCCGCCCGGATGGTTGATGGACATCAAATGGGCTTCACTTCGATAATCTTCCCAATGGGCCAAGCCATGGCAGTTCCATGTCGCAGGATGTAGGCCATTCCGGCACCCTGAGAAGTGAACCACCTGCTGGGCTGAGCTTTTCTGGGCTCCTGGCCGCCTCCAGCAGTGGCAAGTGCGCCATTTCCAACTTGGCCATGGCCCACAAGCTGTTCGACAGGTCCTGGCGCCAGTGACGTTTGGCTCAGCAAGCTGGGAGTGCTTGGTAATTAGATGTAATTAGCCTGGCTACTGTAACCAAAGAATGTGTGCGCGGTCCCACACACCAATCGGTTTGGGATGGAGGCTTGAAGGAAAGCTTTAAAACATCGAAAAGGCAAATTAATCCAAATGAATCCGACTGGATAGTGACTGATAGTGACAGCCCTAGTCTTAGACGCAAGCATGTGCAACATCAAAGGTTTCCTCTTCCGTCCTGTGCGTTCAGCAGCGGTAGCTTTGCCATGGACTCCTCCGCAATCGCTGCCAACAGCGTGGCATCGGATAGCACCAACCTGCCCAGGCGCGGCGTGGATAATTATGAAAGAATCAGTTGCTTGTCATGGAGGCTTGAAGGAAGCTCCGAAATCATGAAATAACTGCACGATTCAAGCCAACGACCCAATATTGGTGATCTTGGCTGATTTTGCTTTAGATGTCTAGGTTCGGGGCCGTTTGGGGTTTCTAGCCAGTTGCGAAGGAGAGCACTCCTGAAACCAATAAAACCCACCAATCCCGCGACAACAGATAGCGAACCTTCGCACTCCGCATTTCCTGATCCTCGCCGTCCCTTCTCAGGGCATTAGCAGGCATTCTGTGGGTCACGTGGGTTTGTCTCCAAATGGGCAGCCTCCAAACCCATTGGAGAAGGGAAAGCACATTGAACCCTCAAAGAAAAGGACTAAAGTTGGCTAAAGCAAGACCTTTCCAACATCATTGGCAACAGGACTGCTGGGACAGCAAATGACAACAACTTGATTGGTCTTGGGTGGGGCATCCTCATTTTGAGACAAACCCACACGAGAACCATGCCAACTCTTTTCCAAGCAGGCACTCTGCACTGTTCATCTTTGTCTAGCTGGCACTTTGTCCATCCTTGTTCATCAGTCCGCCTCAGTGAGGGCTTGGGCAGCAAAAAACCTTGAAGCTAACATGATGATTCATAGAGTCCGCAACATTCGGAGGAACAGCTTCAATGACCATGACGCAATTGGGATGAGTGATGATGTAGCTGTCAGCATCTCTACAAAGCCTTACAGAACTACGGGGAGCTCTACCAACTGCATGGACACTGCCTTCACAGGCGCAAAGGCCCCCAACATCCAAACGTTCCACCTGCAGCCACCCTCTGCCAGTGGAAAGTGGCACGGGAATGATTTTTACGGAGGAACACACACAATGATCTGAAATCTTTCAACTTCATTGGAGAGGAGAACCGGTTTCAATTGTAAAAAACCATCTTCCACTTGGCGCTGCAAACAGGGACATGCTAGTGCAGTAGTTCAGCCCCTTCCTTTTCCCAAGTAGATGGCCCCATGTCATGAATCCGCACTAATCCGCAGGACTCCCCATCTTCATCCCCGTACCGCCTCCGGAGCGAGCTTCCCCCGGCTGCGAGCCGCCAAGCCACTCAAGGCCTCTGCAGCCTTCTCCAGCAGCTCCTCCCGCTCGCGCAGTTGCTCCTCCAGCTGCGTCACGCTGCACGCAACGGCCGCGCCGTTCCGCCGCTCGTCGCGCTGGCGGCGAAGGCGATCTGCCTCTTGAGACTTGGCGTCCAGGACGCTCTCAAGGCCTCCAAGTGGAAGGTGGGATCAAAACCAGAAATAGCAGCTCAGGACTCTGCTCAGGTTGAAACATCAAGACAAGGGATTAAAACATCATTCCCAGTGGCACAGTAGTTCTGCTGTAGTGAGTCTGTGACTGTTTCACGGAGGTTTGCCATCTACAGGTACAGAATGTTGCTATAATATGCTACTTGCTATTGTAACTTTAAAGGGCCTTCATGGTCTTTCATTGCATCAATGCCACAAAATTAACACCAGCCACCCGCCGCGAAAGAGCTTTTCAATGCTTAAACCACCTCAAGCTAAGTGCACAAGGTTCCCTCCTCACCCCCGCCCCCGGCCTTCCACACGCTTTCGCAGCTGTTTGGCTTCAGCCCTCATCTCCTTGGCTACTCCAGTGGCCTTCCCAGCCATCGCCTTGGCGCGTCGCGCCTGGCTGCAGGCGTGGGATGCCTGGTCCACCAGCTCGTCGCGCTGCCGCTGCAGCTGAGCGATCCGTGCTGCGCACGCGAGCTGCGCCGGGTCGCCCGGAGGAGCGCGCGACGTACGCTGCGCGGACGCCTTCGTGCGCGTCGTGAGGGCGTCGAGCTGCTGGGCCAGGGAGGTTTGGCGGTTTTGGAGGGAGGACAAAGCCTCAGAGACGTCTTGCCAGGTGGCCATGGGAAGTGCGCTTGGGGTGGAGGTAGCTTGAAAGAGACGTGGGCTGAGATATTCGAAGGTGTACATTCTGTCATGATTGCAAACTTTCGAAGCTTGATTCTGGCCGCTGCTCAATGATTGGCAATCATGCCTTGGATAAAAGGCAACTTTCCATGCTGGACAAACGATTTACAGGAGCCTAAAATGCCGCATGTACGTGTACCAGTCAAGGCTGTGCCTCAAAACACTTGCAGCAAGAGATCTTCGAGAGCCACAGTTCACCTACCACTCCTGCAAAACATGTTGCCTTGTGGATGTTGTTGGGGCTTCCTTGGCCTTCGAAGACCCAAACACGTGTCACGAGGATTGGGGACGCCATGGGGACGCCATCGTTTGTCCGGCTCGCGCGGAAATTGGGAAAGCGCCTGGCCAAAGTCCAGGCCAGGTTGGACAAGCCTGGGAGGGTCAGGCACTTCTGCGAAGACTTTACAAATGAGTTTTCGCAATCCCAACATCGTCTGGTTTTGTTGGAATCCTTGAGCCCGAAAAAGGTGTTGTACGGCGATCTTTGTAAAAAGTTTTCAGGTAAATCTGCAACCTTGTTGAGCTTCACAAGCTCTGACTCTTAAGCAAATCCATTCACTACAACTGAATGTAGGTCTGGTCGCCCCAAACTATCTGGGGCAAAGGCAAAGGCCTTTCCAGGAAAACATGTTCTTTATTAGGTTCGCGTGTCTACGTCGCTATATATGGTCTGAATCCACCGGACCCACCCACCCGCTGCTCCCGCTGCTCCCTCGCCTTGCGGCACGAACTCCGAGATCCGCCGCACGGCGGCAGCGGAAGTGGCCGCATGGAGCGGAGCCTCCGGTTTTGCCACGCATGCCACACTATAGTTGCGGACAACCACTTAGAACATATTTTTTCCAAAATTCCAGACCCTGCACTTAGAACATGTCAAAACCAT